CTTTGGGGTATGGGGTTTAGGTGTTTGGGACTTTGGGGTATGGGGTTTTAGGTGTTTGGGAAGTTGGGGTATGGGGTTTTAGGTTGTTGGGAAGGTGGGGTTTAGGGTTGAGGGTGTTTTAGAAACCAGGGTTTAGGGCAGTTGAGGGTTCAGAATTCCAGCAAATTGGGGTGTGTGGGTTTAGAGTTTAATGTCCTCTAGGTTAGTGACTGTTAGTGCCTTTATAACTATACTTTATTCTAGAATACCTAAAAACCATACTTGGAGTATTAGTTCCTCAGATTGCATTTAGGGAAATTAGAGTTTATAGTTCATAGGTTTTAGGACATGCGGGAGAACTTCTGTCGGGGGTCCTGACACTAAGGATCAGGGTGCTTAGGGCTCTTCGGGTGTAGGGTTCTCTCTAGGTTTAGGGTTTCGGGCTCTTCGGTTTCGGGCTTCGGGTCTTGGGGTCTCGAGTTTTCGGGCTTAGTGGGCTGTTGGACTCCATGGTGAGACTCGCACAGTTCTTGACGACCGCAGACTGCGGCTGTCAGGGGTTGCGGTGATTGACAACAGAGCAATACAAATAGAACCTGCAGACGTAGTGATAACTGAGACTAGGGGATGCTCTTGACACAAATATATTTGATCTTGAACGTTTGTATACAACACTGATCCCATTAAGCCGTGGCTTTCGTATGGTACAGTCTTTCGCAGCGGCTTAGCGGCTTGAACACCCCATACCCGAAGCCTAAATGCCTAAGTCCCAAACCGTAAACCCTTAATCCCTTAGGCCCCAAGCCCTAAACAACAACCTTAAATCGCCTAAACCCTAAACCCTAAACCCTAAACCCTAAACCCTAAGCCTTTGAACCCTTAAACCCTTGAAGCCCCAGCCCAGGCAGGGGGAAAACAGCAGCCGATCTCGCTCGTAAGGCTCGGCTGGCGAGGGTTCTTTTTCCAGGACATGTCGCGTGGGCACTAACTAAGGTTCGGGTTTAGGGTTTAGGGGTTTAGGGTTTAGGGTTTAGGGTTTAGGGGTTGGGGACTTAAGGTCGATTTTTTGGGTTTAGGGTCTCGGGTTTGGGTATAATGTCATCCAAACAAACCCTTTTCTAATTTTCCAGGCCCGGATAGTCGGCTTTAGGGATCAGGGTTCAAGGAAGAGTTTTGACAGATTAAGGTGTTCACTTCAAAGAAATCAGGTTAAGGGTTTAAGTTGTTCGGGGCTTTGGGTTCAACGTGGGAATGCATGGTGTTCCCCTAGATCCTAAGCCCGAAAGTAGGGGCTCCTGGCTGGGCAGCTCATCATAACCAGGCTCAAGTACACAGCGGATAGTCTAAATCCTGCATTCCCTCAAGTACCTCTTTCTTCGTGAGGACACGTGGAGGTTCATGGGTCGTTATAAATGGGGTGACAAGTCGCCCGCAACCCCTATAAACCCCTAAACCCTCGATAAATGCTAGAAAATTTATAGAAGTCTTGCAGAGCAATCCATACAGAAGCCGATCGAACCCTCATAGACCCCTTGCAAACCCGTTCTAGAACCCCAAACCCTAAACCCTAAACCCTCATAGCAACCCTTAGCCCCTTTATGTTTCGACTCAGTGAGGTTGAGGCGCCGCCGGCCGTCGTCGCCCAATTAGAGGGCCAGGAGGAAGGCGTGCGTGCCACACCCTCTACGTTCTCCATCTGAGGCCTCTTTTTTGGGGCAAAGTAGCGCCTTCAAGAGGCCTCGGCAAGGTTTAGGGGAAGTTTTGCTTCAACAACGGATGTGAAAGCTTCGCAACTGTGAGAACAGAGACTTATGGTTACGGTTCTGGTTTTCAAGCGAAGCAGGTTTTCAGAGCGCCAAACCTTTTCCCGGCGTTTGAGATGCTCTGCATGGACGAGGTATCTTATGGTCAGAACGTACGTCCATGTTTAATGTTTAGGATTCCTTCCAAACTCGTGATGGATGATCAAAGATCAAATCCGTCTGCGACTCTCTTTAGGAGAATTTCGAGGGCAAGAAGCAAAAGACCTGGCCTTCCTTGACCTCAAAGTGATGCTGCACGCACGGTAGCCCCACCGGTGATGGTGGTCGTTGAACCTGTGGTCAGAAGTGATAAGTGTTGGTTGTGCATGCTCGGATGCTGCGTCGGCTCAGAAACTTGCTCAATGGATCAGCCACCGTTTGACCCAGAGCCAGGCATTTGTGCCATGGACCATGGGCAGGTGGAAAGACATCAAGGCTGTCAGGGCAGGGGCGAACACAACAACGATCATGATGGCAGGAGTGTTGTAGTACTAGTAGTATTAGTAGTAGTACTAGAAGTAGTAGTAGTAGTAGTAGCAGCAGTAGCAATAGCAGTAGCAGTAGCAGTAGCAGTAGCAGTAGCAGTGGCAGTAGAGGAGTGGTGGTAGTGGGAGTGCTCCGTCAGCAGCTACTTAGTCAGTCCCTTGTGCCTCCAAGTATCAGGGCTTTGGCAAGCGTCTTGCGCAGGAGTTCCCACTTCTCGAGAGAACAGCCTGTTCAAGTTCCCAATGTTTGTAGTGGCCCCGCTGCAACAGAGCTTGGGGCTTATTTCGGGGAGTCTTGTGTTCTGAAGCTCACACATTGGCTTTTAATCTAGGGGCTTAGCAGCGATCACCGAATATGTATTCCCTCGCACTGTCGGGGCAGGGTTTTGGGGGAGTCAGTTGTGTTGGTACTGTTGATGATAGAAAGCCTGCATTACCTAGAATAGGGAATACACCATAATTCCCATAGTTTAGGGTCCTGAGGGTAATGCAGGATTGAAACCATCAACAGTAGTACCATCCCACCTAAAAGCACTCCGGAATTTCTTCCTTCCTACACTGTGGCTCTGACCTCCTCAGGGCTCGGATTTTGGGCAGCTCAAAACCTCCAAACTCCAACTGAAGCCCACGAAAAGCAGAGGCGGGGCCTGCGAGGTGTCTCTGCATATTTCATTTCACGGAGAGCCCATCCAAAATCAATGGTCGAACAAGTTGATCAAGGTGTTCCAGTCATGGTGTCCAAGGGGTGGACATGGAACTACGACCCTTGTAGCAGTCCCATAGAACATCGTGGGCCAGGAGCAACTAATCCAACTATGGCAGAAGCGGGGAGGCCACACAGTGCCCCTGTCGACCCGTTGCAGGTCAACCCTGAACTTCGCAATGGCCATTCAACAGCCCAACAACACAAGCAGGTAGTGGTGGCTACGAAGTAGGTAGCCGTAAGTGCCTGCACACAAAACAGTGGAGCAAAACAGGAAACACAGGAGGATTGCAATACTGACAGTGTGTGTATGGCACTGCCGTGTACGATATTATCACCCATATCCTGCCTTCTGGTGCTAGCATGCCGATAGAACTGATGATTGCCATTTGTACAGGGGCCAGGTGCATTTGTTGCCCGGGTTTAGGGTTTAGGTTTAGGGTTTGCCTCTCAGCATGATCACAAGATTTGCATTGCAGAATCCTACTCTTGATGAGGTCCTGCAGCACGTTGCAATGTAGGGATCTCAGTAAGTAGAATCAGGGCGTTCGGGACATTATTGTCTAAAAAAACCAATCATGAGAAGAAGAAGAACCAATGAATATTTTGTCATTATTTCAGCCCCGAAATTACCCACAGATTCATTCCAACCAGTACTCGGATCACTCATTGCAACTTCCCAGGATTCGGGGAGGATCTAGGAACTGGAGATCCCATTAGGGGCTTGGGGTTCAGGGCCTTGTGTTCCTATGAAGTACACCTCAATCGGATAAGGTATCAGGCTTTTGGGCCTTCCTTTTCGGATGAACTCAAAAACTCATAACCTTAAACCCTTTTCAGATGAACTCAAAGCTCTAAACCATAAACCCTAAACCCTTCTCAGATGAACTCAGAGCTAGCTTAGAATTCCCACAGTGCAGAAGGGCGTCTGCTTGAGAGTTCGGTCCGTCGTCTTCAGCCGCTCTAATGTCTGCTCCTCATACTTATCCAAACCTTAGCTCAGACATTGAGCTTGTCTTGCAGGGCAGGGGCGTTTAGGAGTTTAGGACTTCGGGTTCCAGGGTTTCAGGTTGAGGGTCGGGGCTCAAAGGTTTACATTGGTTATTGATGCTTTTTTGTGTCCTCGGGAGGGGCCCCCCCTGCTACAGAGCATTCGGGGGCCCTTATGAGGGAGGCTAGGCCCTAAACCAGGGTAGATGTCGAACACGAGGGCTTCTGCGAAGATGTGGGGGTTTCCGAAAATAGGGGGTACCTTATTTGGGGGTCCTTATAATAAGGATCCTATTATTTGGGGTGCTATATTAGGGTCCCCTATTTTCGGAAACCCCCATGTAGTCAAACGGCAGCTTCGTTGAGGAGGACAGCACTCCAAATTCGGGTGCTTTCTACACGGCTCCAGGGTTTGAGGGTTTAGGGTTTAGGGGCTTGGGTTCAGCGACTGCGGCTTGTGGAACTTCAGGGACTTACGATTCATTGCTCAGGGTACAAAGTTGCAGGTTTTTGGTAGGGGCTTAGGGTTTGAAATCCCAACCTGAAAACTGACCTCCCTTATCTAAGCCTGGAGAAAAACCCCAACATACACTGAAGCCCTCAACCCAACACCCCTCCTCTCCCCAAGCACCCCAGACCCCAAACCCTGAGCCCTACAGCCCAGCGACGCGCGAAGGCCCTCTGGTAGATATAGACACCGACCACCAGCAGGATCGAAGTTGCCAGCAGCAGGCTGGCAGAAATCTTGCCTGGGGTTTAGAGTTGAGGGCTTTAGGGTTTAGGTCCGAACCCAACTTAAAGAAGACCGCGCGGTCAACATGACAGCACCAGCCAGGGCAGTTATGGCAGCAGTAGTTGCAAAAGTAGCTGCAGTAGCAGTAGGAATCAGAATA